CTAGGGTAAAAAAGACGGCACCCAATCGTTTGTTGTTGACTTTATTGTTGAGGAATATGTTGTGTAATTCTGTGAATCTCCAATTCCGAGTGTGGCAGTTGTTCTTATGGTACCTTTCTTTTTCTTTGTCCGGAATGCAATTATGATTGCCCGACTATCCATTAGTACAGGTTATTTGTACATGTTAAAGCATAGCATACAATTTCCTACTGTGTTTGTTAATTCCCATATTGTAGATGTCATTTTCGGGTGGTATTGGTCCTTCGTCTGAGAGCACTCAAGGAGACGCCAAATGGCCTCCCGAAAATGAAGCCGCTTTTGTGAGTGTTCTGTTGGACGAAGTTCTGATGGGAAACCGTGTAACCGGTAAGTTCACACCGAATCAATGGACGACCATTCTTGCGAAGTTGAAGGAGCAGTGTCCCATTTTCTATCCTTACAAAGTGACACAACTGCAAAGTAAGTACCAACGAATGAAGGTGTATTGGAGAAAGTTTCACAACATGGTAACCAATGCCACCGGATTGAGTTGGGATCCACAGAAAAAGATGATTACGGGAGACGCTGATTGTTTTACAAAATGGACTACCGTAAGTATTTTTTATTATGTTTTGTTACAATTGTTTCCTATGTTCAATTTTAATTTGTCTGACAATTGTTATTTGTTGGTTGCTTCAATTGTGTTGTAAATATGTGTGGCAATTACACCTGTTGTTATTGCCTTCTTGTCTCAGAAAGTGTTCTTTGCTTCAATTGTCTTTGAGATACTACTGTGGCCTATACACCTCTTCTTTTTTATTTTGTTTTATTTTTTATATATAAATATGAAATATTTCATATCAGATTGTAGTGTGGATTCTGTTGTAGTAATGACTGTCATTTTATATGTCCTGTACTGCTTGGGTGGCCTGTACACTCCATTTCTCATTCTTTCATGACGTCCACAGGCAAATCCGAGTTATCATGACATGGAGGGTAAGGTATGCGTGCACTACGAAGCGTTGACGACTATTTTCCATGGGACGACTGCTACGGGCTCGAAAGCAAGGGCATCGACTCAACGTGTGCCCGAGGGACGTGGTGAGCCATCTGGAAATTTCAGCCCCGATGTTTGTACGCAGCAAGAGGAGGATCCAATGGAGACCCCGACATCTCATCGACGGCATGGTGGGCAGAATCGGTCCGTTCGTCGAAGGAGAAGCACAGAGTCCAGTTTCGACACCGCCATGTACTCGTGGTCTGACTTGAATGTGTCGCTGAAAGAAAGAAACAACAAACCCGCGAAGCTAACGACGATGGAACATGCAATGCGCGACCTTCAAGAAATGCCGAATATGGACGAAGATCTTTTCCAGTTTGTTTGCACTAAGCTTCGGGATCCCACGAATCGAGCCATGTTTGTTGCGATTACTAGTGACGAGAGACGTCAACATATTATTAATATGTGGATTAATGAGGGCCCCGATCCACAGTGAATGTGGATGTGGATTGGTTTCTTCTATCGTCTTCATTTGTTGTTGGACTTCTCTGTTTATTTGTCTTCAACTCTACTATGTTTGAACATTGTTTCCAAACTACTCCGATTGAGATTTTTTATTACTGCATGACTATGTGACAATTTGTTTGTTAACATTTGTAAATGTGTTTTTCGCCATTAATATATTTATTTGTAGGATGTCTTACGTAGATGATAGCGACACATATGAAGAGGACATCGATGATTTGCCTGAGGATGTCGACAACGAGTTCGGGACCGTGGAAGAGTATGACCCGTTTGAAGCTTCGTTAATGATGGGGGCACAATTTCAACAACTTGTAAACATATACGAGAGTTCTTCGTCAGCATTTCCACCATTAAGAAGAATCCCCTACCGAGAATCCACGTACTCGGGTTTGGACTGGGTAAATGAATTGTTAGCTGGAAATCCACGTCGATTTAAAGATGTAATGGGCATAAATCAATGTCATTTCACCATCCTTTGTGACGAAATCAAAAGGGCTGGATTCCACCCCAAAAGAAGACAAACAAAAATAGGCATTGAAGAAAGCGTAGCCATTTTTCTGCATACAATAAAAGGGCATCAAAGGCAACGATTTGCGGCTGAAACATTCAGAAAATCAGGAGAGACAATCAGTCGTCATTGTCACAAAGTCATCAATGCTATTTGTTATCTCGCCCCCGACTACATTCGTCCCCCAGACTTCAACCGTGTTGCACCGTGGATAAGAAATAACCGGAATTTATATCCTTACTTCAAGGTAAATTCAGGACCTTTTTATTTTTTAATGTGTCCTACACCGTTAATTTGAACAAAAAGTACCTCGATTGTTGAAATTCTATCTGTTATTCGTAGGACTGCATTGGTGCAATTGACGGGACTATTATACCTGCGTGGGTGCCAGAAGGACAACAGGGTTCCTACAGATGTAGGAAAGTGTAACACCCCGCTTTTCCTTAAATATCAGAGTGCGATTTTCGCAAAACTTTTCTTAATAATACATATTTATTTGCGAAATCCTTTTCGGGATGTTACTAAAAACCATTCATTGCTTAAGAAATCCGTTATCTTTATTGAAACTTAACTTTGAAGAATAAACGGATTAATTTAGATCAACTGGTATGTAATACTCTATAAAAATCTGTCTGATAGATCAGTTTAAAAACAAAAACTGACATGCTAGTTGAAATAACGTAAAGTGACAGCGGAAGTCATACGT